GAAAGCCTACAGAGACACCAGCCCTCCAGGACCGGCACTGCAGCCCTTCTCGAGAGTTAAGCAGCAGTTAACTCATTGTTAACTCAGCCTCCAGACAGGATCTGCATTTCAACCCTTGTAATAGCATCTGGAGTGTGTGTTGGACAGCATGAGGCAGTGCCTGATTCCTTGTTGTGGAGCTCTTGATGGACCTTCCCAATCTCTCCTCTTGCATGCTGTAGTGGTGGCAATCTCACTTTGAAGGCTGGAATATCCTTCAATCACACGAATTCCCAATGTACTCCTGTGTCTGCTTGTATTCACTGCCACTGGCCACTGGATGAATTATCTCACTGATTAGTTGTCCCTTTTTGTAATTTGAAAATTCTCTTGCAGTTCCTGAGCTAATAATAATAATAATAATAATCATTTATAAAGCACCTTTCCAAACCCAAGGATGCTATACATTGTGATAAAAGGTACAATAAAGAGTAAAACAGAAAATTAAACAAAAATAATCAGGGTAGAATGTAGGACAATCAGACGTATGCCCTAATAAACAGGTGAAGTTGGAGTCTGGATGTGAAGAGAGTCAGAGAATTTGTCTCTCAAAGAGTCGCAAAGGAGCAGAGATCTGGTCCAGGGTACAGTGAGAGAAGGGCCGGCTCGCTGACCACCTTCTGAGTCCTTTACAGCGCAAGAGCCCCTCAGAGTCAGCCTGCCCAGATTTCCCCAGGCTCCGGGTGTTAGGGCAGGATCCACCTTCATACCCCCGCCTGGCGTTTTCTTCACTGGCTTCTCCCCTCCTTCCACAGCCCTCCTCTCTCTCTCTCTTTCTCTCTCTCTGATACAGCTCGTCCGGCCCCTGAATTCCCCACTCTTCCCACTGATCAAACAGCGCATTTCAAAGCAGACCAGACTCTTTTATGTTGGATTTTCTTCCCCCCCCCCAAAAAAAAAAACAGAAACGGAAAGGCGTTTGAAGTCAAGGATGAACCGTGTCCTCCTCTCCCTCCTCTGCTCCCTCCCTTCCTCTCCCTCACCCTCTCACTGTTCGCCTCTCTCTCTCCGGCTTTCCTCACATCCAGTGGTGTCAGCGGTGGGTTGGTGTGTGTGGAGAACACCAGGAAGCACCTCTCCCCACCGCAGACGCTTCTCCCCGGCACTGAATAATTAGCTTCTTCATGTCTCCTCTTTCCTCCCCACTCCCCATCTCGCATTCTGTGCTGTTCTGTTGTGTGTTCAGTGAGCGTTAGGCCCTGGCGACCCTCTCTTGACATGTTGTGTGCTGCATGTGTGTGTGTGTGTGTTCAGGTCGCAGAGGGGTGACCCTGGGAAAGCCGGACATCAAAGTGGAGACGGTCAACAAGGAAACGCACAACCTGGAGGACGACGCCTCCAGCGTTTCCACGGCGACGCGCATGGTCAAAGCCATGTACTCCGTGAGTATCTAGGCAACCGCTGGAAGAGGGGAGGGGCAGGGGGCGGGGCCATTGGGTCCACAGGTTCACCCTCTGAGCCAGGCGCGTACACATATAGAAATCTCTACATATAGAAATCACACATACAGAAATCTGCTCCGCAGATGTCCTAGCTGGTCCATCCAGATGGCCTCCTTCTAGATGTGCACAGTGGGCCGTGTTCATCTTTTTCTTTTCAAATTTTGAAGTCTGTTGTTCTGTAGCTACGGCTTTCGCCTCTGATCTGGACTGGGCATTTCCAAAACAAGGTTACCTCCAAAGAGCAGGAACAACTACAAAAAAAAAAAAAACTTGTTGGCAGAATGTGAAAATAAGCCTGTTTTTCTCAGGTAGCTGTATTGGATTTCTGCAAAGATGCCCTGCTTATCCACGTTGAAGAAACTCTTGCACTAAATTTAGGTGCAATCTCTTCAGTTTGTTTGCAATATTTCTTAATCTGTTTTATGATTCAGCGTGTAAACTTGTGGATGATCTTAATCTTTATCTTACTGTATCTTAATCTTCTGTCTCCAACTCTTTTTAAGGGGTTTCCTACGTCCAACAATTTTTGCTAAAATGTAAAAGGCACTGATTTAGAAAAAGTGTCTCTTAGGCACTGCAGGTGTACGCTGATCTCACTTGCTAGACTGTATCATCTCACCTGCTGAAGAACGTGGGAGATGATCACAGATGCTGTTGTCTTTGCTGAGCTATTAAGTCTTGCCGAAGTGAAGTGATCTCTACCTGGGCTTGTGTTGTACTGCTCAGTGTGAAGACGAGCTTTGGGCTAATCATGCTGCATTTATGAAATAAAAAAAGCAATGCCTCTAATGAAAGGAAAATAAAAACTTCTGTGCAGAACACGAGGGAAAGTTAGCTGTCAGAGGAGCAGATCACTATCCTATGTATCTATCCTTGCGAGGAACAGAAATTTTTTTAAGTCTCTGTATTCAGGTCTCCTCCAATTCAAAAGGGTTTGAGAAACGCATGCGACACAGCAGAGTTATCACCTAAGCTAACATGTGCCTGGTCCATACCAGGATGGGTGGCCACCTGGGATAACCAGCTTGTTGTTTCAGTGATGTTTTTTGGACCACTAGGTGGTGCTCTTCCTTCTGGACCAGAATTTCCAAGCCAGTTTATGTATATATACTGTATAAACCAATATGGTGACAGAAGACACTTCTACACTTCTAGGCGCTACAATGCTTTGGGTGAGACATTAAATCACCAAGGTCTTGATTACGTTGTTATGACACATCCCTTGACATTGTTCATAAGAGTTGGGAGTATTGATCCTGGTGTTGTGGTTAGATTCTGCCCTGGGCATGCACAGTTTGGCCTCCCTAAAGTGATCTCTTATTTCCATTGGCAAAGTCATTTCTCTGTCCTATATCTGGTTGGCTGTGCCCTGGGGCAACCTTGTTGTGATAGGCGCTTTATAAAAATAAATTGAATTGAATAGAATTGTTTCATTAATGGCTGCCACCTGTCACCCATGACGATATTGCCCTTAAGTGGTGGAGAGAGTAGGTAACCTTCCATTTAAGATAAGCTGACTTTATTGGCCGTATACAATTTCTTGTATTAATTTCTTTTAGTGACTCATGGATATGAAAAGCACTCTACATGCACAACAAAGCACAGTTATTAGTTACTTTCTCTGGTGACAGTCTGCGAAGGAATTTCATTGAAGGTGTGTGCAAGTCATTGGAATAAGCACAGCAGCTCAGCTGCAGCCAAGAGGCATTCCGTGCTGTTGAGTATAGAGTACAGGTGCTCAGCCAGTGTCTGATGTTCTTGCAAGTTGCTCTGCTGTTTTCTCTATGTTCTACGAACTTCTGCTTTCCTCTCAGTTGCTGATACGATATCTGTCTGTTTCCTCCCCCCTCCTCTCCTTTCCCTCTGTGTGTGTTGTTGTTCCCTCGTTTTGATGGCAGTTTCTCCCCTCTGTCTCTCTCTCGCCCTCCACCCAGCCCTTCAAAGACGACATTGACCTCAAGCAGGATCTGCGGAGCGACACTCTGGACACGCGCGAGGAATATGAGCTGAAGGTCGGGAGCTCTAGAGCCGCGTTCCGCTGGGCCTGACCTCGTCTCTTTCCCAGAAACACTAGGCACCTCAGTGTAGAGACACATCACACTGCTCCACCCCATCCTGGGGCCTTAACGTCAGCATTACGACGGCTGATCCTCTCCCTCCCCACAGCTAAAGCTGTGACAAAGGTCTCCCAACAAAGCACAATGCACTGCTGTCTGGAGTAAAAGCCACAATCTTTCACTTTGTAGGCACGGTGCGTTCTTTCACCTGTCAGACTGCTAGAGGCGGGAACCTTCAGTTTTCAAACTCCTTTAAGGTCTCACCCCTTTGTATTGCAGTCATGTCTTTCTCGCTGCCTGACGTACTGCCACAGTCGGATAGAGCTAGGAGATCAATCTCACTTTGGTGTCCAAGCCTATCACACTGCCGGGACGGTATTGCAGCATTTTGCCCCGTCTCTCAGTGAGGGTCTGAAACGCCAGACATTTACCATCCTCCCTGTCTTTTTTTCGACACTGCAGTACAACAGGAAAGGTTGGGCTCATCAGTAAACTTGTCCAACCAAATCTCTAAATCTATCACTCCCTTCAGATGAACAATTCAGATCCCTCCATCTCTCCCTCTTTACAGACATATCGGAGTTTCTTCTGCACATACCAACACAAAACAAGTGTTCCAAAAAAGACACCACTGCAGATACTGCAGTCACATTTGCGGTATCTTTCGCCTGAGTGAATGCAGATTCCTCGCCGTTCCAGACACGCAGGGGTTATTATTTTCGCAGGCTGACCGTCGCGCCGTTTGGCAGCCATTGAGAACGTGTTGCACCAGAGTTTGCACGATGAACGTGAAATGCGCGTGGAGCACGTGCTACAGGTGGCACAGTCGGTTCACCAGAGCCGTGGGGGAGGCCGGGAGAAACGGGACAGGTCGCGGCAAAGTGAACGCCTTCGCCGCTCGCTCGTAGATGGCAGTTCCCGCGATGCCGACCCCTCAGACCCACCATTCCGACACTAAAATACAGTCAGCCGCGTTGGCTGGACGCTAAGAGAGGCGTCCTACCGCGGGGGCTGGCCGGTTGTTCCTCGGGCAGAGAGCGCCTCCAGATTCGCGGGACTAGTTAGCCAGTTTGGCGAGATTCCTCCTAGAAAAGTTGGGAGATTTTGCCGGAAAATGGCGGCCGACCTCCCAGCCAGTTTTGGCTCCAGCCCGCTAACCTCTGTGTCCCTTGCATTTTTCACCGCAGGACCCCACCAATGGCTACTACAACGTGCGGGCGGCCCACGACGATACCCGGCCCTCCTCCCGCTCCATGCTCTACGCAGACTACCGTACCACGGGCGCCCCCGGCACCAGCCCCGGCGGGCCCGTGTCCGAGAGCCGGGGAGGGGCCGGCGGTGGGGGAGGAGCTGGGGGGGCGGGGAGAGGCTGCTACGACCCCAGGCCCCCCTCCCGGCTGTCCCACAACAGCTACGCCCAGTTCAACACCTACAACCGCCAGGGGGGGGCGCCCAACCCCAACCCTGTGCCCCCGACCGGGGCCGCGGATTTCCCTTCCGAGTGCGGGGGCACCCTCCTGGACACGAGCAGCCAGCTGTCGTACGAAAACTACGGCACGGCGCACGGGTACCCCCCGAGCGCTGCCCCCACCTACGCCCCCTATAGGTTAGGATTCGCCACCCAGGGCAACTTGGGCAACCTGGAGAGGCTAGACCGTCTGGGCGCCGGGTACGAGGGCTACGCCCCGGGGGACAGCAGCATGGGCAAATACGGGACGGCCACGGCCCGCTTCTCCTACTCTTCCCAGCATTCCGATTACGGCCAGCGGCACCAGCAGCGCATGCAGACTCACGTGTGACGGGCTCGCCGGGGGAGGACGCGACTCCAGATCCGCAGGCCGAGGAGGACAGGAGCCTAAGTTTGCTAATCGAGAGACTAATCAAGATCTGTGATTGGGGGTGGGGGGGGGGTGTTTTCTGTTCCACCGGCTTCCGTGTCCCTAACTAAACATCCTGCATTTTTCCGGGAGAATTCCCTTCCCTCTTCTGTCCCTTCTCCCGTCGGTCCTGGGCCACAG